CTGCTGATCTGAATAGGCTTTGGGCAGGGATGTCGTCCAGAGAAATCAAGCCCTGAATCAGTGGTTGATGTTGATTACCTTTCTCAAGGTCCTTTCTGACATGGAAAATATATGAAGATTATAATAGGGTATTACCATATCAGAGCTCTCAGAAGCTTTATATTATGATTGTTCTTTCACTCCTCTGATCTTCAACTAGAGTGTAACCTCCTTAAAGGAAGAGAGCATGCTTGCCTTGTTTACCACTGTGTTCCCTGTGCCTGGTATTGAACAGGTGCACAGTAGATGCTTAAATATTTGTTCAGCTAAAGTGAAGGGTGTTTTTTGCGTCCTATTGTACCTGCTGTTCTTGGAGTGCAAGAAACTTAAGGCGGGTAAAGAGTTGACCCTTCATCTCTCTCTATTGTAGTGGCCAACTTACTCATTTTTTTTAAAAGAAAAGAAAATAATCAAATAGTACAGATACGTTTTATAGTTGGTGGCGAGACTTTTGAATTATATGCAGTTTAGTTGTCTAATTTCTGTGGCAGTAGAGTAATTGCACGATGTTTATAAAACATTGTATTACCATGTAACATTAGCAATAAGAGAGTTGAATCTTTACATCTTGCTGTTTTTGTTAATTTCTGCCTGATTGAGAAAATTAAAACTTAATTTTCTTACAATAATGACTCTTGCATTGCAATCACAACTTCAGCGTTAGAATTTATAAGTAAGTCAACCATTTCTCTTAGTCTTAAGGGGTTGAGAGTCTGGAGTGATACTTTTATAATTATACAATACTCATCTAATACTATACTAAGTTATATTTAATATAGCTGATCATACATGAAGTTTAATAAACTCTGATTGCTTGACTAATGCATAATCTTACTGCTTTTCCAGAGTTGATTTTAATGAAAATATATGGTCACTATATGTATTGGTACAATATGCCATCATTGTAATGAGCATGATCATTAGATTTGCATAATACAAACTTACTAAAATGACTTTAATCAGTACTTTTATTTCAGGAATATGACTCTAATAAAGATTTTTGGGGGGATCATTTTTGTTTCTGATTTTTTTTTTAACTCCATAGTAGCTCTGTAGTTTGTATACAGAAGTAAAATCTATGTTTATTTGCAAGTGGTGTTAGAGAGATACACCCACCTGCATAAATGAAATTTGAGAGCTTACACCTGAAGAGCATCATTATAAATGAAAAAAATTTTTTGGTGTTTCTGTTGTTATTCTTGAGTCCTTTTATACCTTTCTTTTTTGACTAATATGAAAAGATAATTGTGTAGCAGAAATGATTTAATTTTGTTTGCAGATCATTGAATCCTAACTTATACAATGATTTCAATGCATTTTTTAATGTAAGTGGCTAAAAATTACCCCTTCTGAAATTCAGCCTCTTCATATCTGCTTAAAGATTTTCTTTTACAGTAGACCATATTTGTTCTTTTTTTCTGAACAGTTATAATGAAGAGCTTTAAATAGTAGTATTGTATTTATGAAAGCAGATTTTTACATAAGGGAAATCTGAGAAAATATCCATATTAAATGTACAAGATTATACAGAATGTCCACTCTAGTTGAATGAAATTTACAAATCAAGAAATCAGGAGCGGAGTGTTTTTCTTTGTTTCTCTGTCACAGGTAATTAGGATAATTTTTTATATAAGTATAATTTCCTATGTGCCTTAGGGTACTCTATCATTCTTGAAGATACCTGTGAGGAAAAAAACAGTTCTTTAAAAATAAAACAAAGCACAGTCCTTCTCTAATATTTTGACCAGGGGTACGCATTTGGTTTATCACAACTAAACTTTCAATTCAAGGGCAACTCTAGAATTAGAAATGTATATTGCAAAAGGAACATTCCAGATCAAAGGGAACAGTAGGGGCACAAACAGGACATCATAGGAGTATGCACTGGGAAAGAGGATTTTAAATTTTGTTTTCTATAGAATAGGGGTCATAAGAGAAGTAGAAGGTAGCCTAGAGCTGAATCATACAGGGCTTTAAATCCCATATTAAGGATATACATCTTTATTCTATAGGTAGGAGGAATTAAATATTTATGAACAGGAGGGAGTATGATAGTCATTCATACTCATAATTAAGCTTCAATGTGTCAAACACTGCTTTAGGCATTAGGGGTACATCCCTAAATGAGATGGGCAGAAATCCCTGTCCTTGTGGAGCTTATATGTTTTTTTGTTGGAAAAACAGACCAAGATAACGATAATGAAGTAAATTATAAACTATGTTAGAACATGTAAAACTTGATCAGGAGTGCCAGGAATGTGTAGAGGGAGGCAGACGTTTCCATTCGAAATAGGACAGACAGGGTAGCTTCACTGAGCAAAACCTTGGAAGCGGGGTGAGGGAGTAAGCCATATGGACCATGGAAAAAGTGCATTCCAGGCAGAGAGAAGAGCCAGGGCATGTGGCTTATTGCCTCGCTGGGGAGCTGTGAGGTGATCAGTGTGACTGGAGCTGGGGGAATGAAGGGACAGTAGTAGGAGATAAGGTCAGAGGGATATGGAGAGTATACAGATCAGTAGGGCCTTGTAGGCCATTGTAATGACTTTGACTTGCACTAGGAGGGAAAATAGAGCCCTTGGAAAGTGTTGAGCCAAGGAGTGACATGATCTGACTTCAGTTTTCACAGTGTCACTTTGTCAGCTGTGTTCAAAATTAACTGTAGGAGAGCAAAGGTGGAAGCAAGGAGGTAGATTAGGAAGTCACTACAGAAATCTAATTGAGAGTTGATGGTGGATTGCACCACATCTTTGCAGACTGCAGAATGATTATCATGGGACTGGATAGCTGCTTGGCTATTGGAAATGAAGGAGAGGAAGAACAACAACATGATGTGGAAGTCTTAAACCTAGACAAGTGGAATGCAGGTGGAGCCAGTAACAAATGTTAGTCTTTTGTTTGTAAAATGAGAGGCTTTTACTAGATTATCTCAAATTCCATCTAACTTGAATAGTTTCTACCTCTATACTTTGTGGTTTATTATAGACAAAAAGTATGTTAATTCGAAAGAAGAGTAGTGAGGGGAAGAGAAGACTTCAGTCTTGTCCCATAAGACCAAGTGAAAATACTGCTAGCAATGCTTTTTTTCTTGTGTCTGTCTCCCATGATTAAACTGTCAACATGTATTCAATTGAGATACAGGTTTAAAACATTTTAGACATGTGTACCTTAACTTAGATAATTTGACTAAAGCAAATAGTATTTTCCCTTAATTTAAATTAAGGGAGTTTATAACCCCAAAAGGTGGGAAGAAAAGGAAAGCACTGGTTGCATGAAGAACTGTATAATCTGTCTCAAAAACCCAGGGGGACAAGCACACATTGGGATGGTAGCAGGGTTAGTTGAGGCACTTTTGATACTTTGTCATTTTCTCTCTGATTTGGTATTGCAGGAAATCATGAAGCTGGCCATTTGTTTAAAACAGTTTTCTATAACCCACTAGAAAAATTAAGGAGAAAATACCTGGTAGAGAGAGTTGCAGGGTAAATTCATCCTTCTTAAGGTGGTTTCATTTCTGATATAAATAATCCCAGCTGTTTTTCTAGGCAGTAAAGATTGATTGGGGTTTGTGTCAGCTGGATGTGATGAAGACATGGTACAGAGATTAGAAGTTTAGATCCCTGAGGGAATCAATGGATTAAAATTAGTAAAGAGTTATACATAGAATAGTATATTTTCCTCAGCTGATCTGGGGAGGATGGTCTTTAACAGCATTGGATTGGTGGTATTTAAAGACAATTTTCTGAAATCCTGAGACCAAGCAATTTTCATTTACCTAAAACATAATGGAATCCTCCCCACAGTGAGAACACCCTATTTTTTTAGTGTGCATGACCAAGTTCATACACATTATTCAGTTTCTGTTGTAAGAAATAAATGTCTAGGATCTGGCAGAACATTAAATTCAATTTCTAACAGACAATTTAAAAAATCTGGTTCTTGGCCTGCCTCGGTGGCTCATACCTGTAATCCCAGCACTCTGGAAGGCTGAGGCAGGCGGATTACGAGGTCAGGAGTTTGAAATTAGCTGGGCACGGTGGTGTGTGCCTGTATTCCCAGCTACTCAGGAGGCTGAGGCATGAGAATTGCATGAACCTGGGAGACAGAGGTTGCAGTGAGCCAAGACTATGCCACTGCACTCCAACCTGGACAACAGAGCGAGACTCCGTCTCAAAAAAAAAAAAAAAACTGGTTCTTTCCTAATCACACCCCTAATTGGTACTTCAACATGTTTATAATAAGAACTATATTTCATGCCCATCATATGTTATTGTGAGGTCTTGAACTATCTTCTGAATCATGGAAGATTACTACATTGTTAGGTATTGCTTTAGTATTACTGTACTCAAATTCTTCAAATAATGGTGTCATATATGTTCAATTTTATGTTCAAATAAGTTTAATTTTTGAATATTAAAATATTTGTATTATGTTTATAAGAATTTTTTAAAAAATAAGTTCAGTTTTATTTAAAATCTTTATAAAAGTGCCCTTTAAATATCCATCAGGAGTAACACAGTTGTTAGGCCATACTGTTTCATTATATTACATTCATGTTAAATGTGACATTTTTCCTATTGTAAATGTTGTTTTTTAAATTTAGATATCTTAAAAGCCTGAAGATTCATTTCCAAACTTCTATATTACTTGCCAGAGCATATGATTTTGTTGTATCTTTTCTCACATATCAGCACTATGGTAGTGAAATCTGATCTAGATCTGATTTGGGACCTTCGGAGCCATATTTAAAAACAAATGAATACACCTTCGCCAAACTTTCATTTTTAATCATTAAAAACTTTTTTTTTTCTTTAAAGAATGTATTGTTTATATGTTTGAACGTTCTGGTTCTTTTTGACTGTTTACAGTTAATAAAAATGAAAATTATTTTATTGTTTGATCTATGAATTTCTCTTATCTGATTGGCATTTCTTCTTTTGTTTGTTTCTTTTTGGTTTTAATAGAACATTCAAATAAAAACTTTGGCAGATGATGTGGTAAGGTGGTCTTAGCAGCATGCTATTAAATTACTTATGCATGTTGCCTTTATATTAAAATAGGTGGACATAAAAGCATTGATATATGTAAGATATGAAATGTCTGGATATTTACAAAGTATAGAAGAATGGAATAATTGTCAATAGAGTGACTTCCTTTACGAATATTAATAGAAACAATTATATGAGATCCCAACAGAATTTTGATATCATCATCCTGATATTTACCTTCATGAAATGTTTTTTAAAATCTCCATGTGAATCTAGACTCTGGAAAACACAGATGCTTCCTTTTTTGATGGCCAAATAAATTGCAAATATATTAAACATTAATGTTGGAGGAAATTAATTTCCGTTAGAAAGGAAATTAAGTTGATTATGTTGGTCAGATGTGTGCTACTGAATTTAGAAACCAATATTTTAAAGCTGAATTTATCATAGTATATCTTATTAAAAGTTATGGGCTCAAAATTTAAATATACCCTTTTATAGTTAAATTATAAAAAATGGTATTTTGAGCATTATCAGTTTTTTCTATGTGAAATTACCTATCTACAAATAATGTAAAGTATTCTTAGGGCTCAAAGGAGATGAAGGTATGTGGCTTAACTACATTTTCTTACCAAAGTATAGCTGAAATCAAAAGCTAATTTTTTAGATAAACAAAGTCACAGTAGAAGATCAAATATATATGTTATTAATGCTACTCAGTAAAAAGGTAACAAGGCTAATACTGCAAAAGTAAATATTATGTGATGGGAAAGGAGAAGAGATATATTGATTTAATGGTCAGTTGCATATTTAAATGCTTTCATGTCCACTATATTTTTTAGTGAAATTTGATTATTGGATATATCCTCAGCTTATTTGGGATTACTTAGCTTTTCTTTTGAGTTGTTTGAAGATATACTATATAACTAAACCAACTTAATTTCCCTCGAAAAGTTAAAAGAAAATGTGAAAATATAGTTCATGATGATTAGAAGAAATGAATCTTAAGTTAATGTGAAGACTGGGATGGGAACCAGGGGCTGGTAAATTTAGGAGAGTCACCTTCTCGGTGAAATGAGGGAATTGGTTTAGATTATTTTTCAAGTTTCTTCTCAGCTCTAAAATATTATGATTTATATAATCTCTTTGTAAGCAACCATGTACTCAAATCACTTTTGTAATCCTGAATAAGCTGCTTAAAACTGCTCATGTTTCTTTCAAAGTATACCTTTTAGTTTTTATAAAGCATTCTTTTACTTAATAAACTAAAAGGTATGCTCATTAATGAGGAGTTCACATAATTTTACGTAAGCTATGGTAATAACTTTTGTGATGCTTTTTGTATTGTTGAAATAATTAGACAAGGATTCTGGTAACATGGCAGTGAAGATGCACTGTACTGATATTTAACATGTCTGCTTGTTTAATGTGAGCTTGATGGTATGCATGTGCTTCCTAACAGAAACCATAATAAAACTGAGTTGCATTCAGTTTTATGCACATTACTAATTTTTGATGTCTCATGTTTTGTGGTTTAAAATAGAATATCCCATTTACATGCAACTGAAGTCGTTAACTCAGTTTATAGCAAGCTAATTATTAGAGATTTTACGTAGAATCAATGGTTCAAAGTCAATATCCATAAAACAGCAAGTTCATAATAATAATATTTGTAGGAATAAGATATTTGTTTGTTATATTTCCAGTAAACAGAAAATGTGATGTTTTTATCTTTGTTTTGCTTTGTCATTGGTCACAAATTTTAGGGAAGAAAAAGCTGGGGGAAAATAATAGTAACAATAATAATAAATAGCGGCCAAATACAATAAACATATTAAGTTATTTAAATTTCACAATAACCCTGTGGAGTAAGTAATGTCATTATCCATATTTTAGAGATAAGGAAACAGAGAGAGACCAAGTAACTTTCACAGGGTTACTCAGCTAGTGAATGGCAGAGCTTGGACTGAAACGAAGTAATCTGTTTTCAGAGTCCATGCTCTTAACCCGTCTACTGCTACACTGACAAATTGTTCAAATATACTTGTTGCAATTTTTGCAACTTTGAAGGAGAAAAATATTACCATAATTTTCTCTTAGAATTGGATATCAGTAGCTCTTTTTAGTTTCTTTCACTTTTTTCTAAAGTTGCCAACAAAAACACATTCTCACTCAACCAACAGGACTTTGATCTGAGCCTTTTTTTCCCCACATATTTACTGTGCAAAACAAAAATGACAAAGGACTAAGTTTTACTTTTGAAGAATACTTTTCACCCCAGAGTTCTGAGGCTGAAGAGCTACTTCAAGTTTTCAAAGTAGTACAATCTCTAACTGGAGCTTGCTGCTTAAAATAATATTTTGTCAAAAGACAATAATGATGTATATTATACTAAGTACCATTTTGATGTTCTTCATGTTAGTGGTTCTTGATCTTTTTCTCAGGGCTTTTTATTTATTTGTTTGCAGCGTGACCGAATTACAAGTTTTAGAAAATCTACTGTCAAAAAAGAAAAACCTCTTATTCAACATCCTATTGATTCTCAAGTCGCGATGAGTGAGTTTCCCGCAGCTCAGCCATTATATGATGAACGATCTTTGAATTTGTCAGAAAAGGAAGTATTGGATCTCTTTGAAAAAATGATGGTAAGTTAGACCCCTAATTTTGATGTAATTTTAAAATGTGTGTGCCCAGAATACCACTGAGTTTTAAGTAGGTGTGTTTGTGAAAAGACCAGAAACTTGATATAACAAAACTATTGTCAAAAGTGTCTGTTTTTTTTTCTTTTTTCTTGGCAAAAATGTCCTTACCTGTCTGTCTCTTCCACTGTGAACTCCTAAAAGTAGAAGCAGTTTTATTTATCTTTGTTTTCTACTGTTTAGTAGTCTCTAGGACATTGAATCAATTTTTCAATGAACCGATTTGTGTGTGTGTCTCTATAAAGCAAAAGAGGCCTAAGTCCACTTTGCTGAAAACAGCACAAGGTCTTTTGTTGGGTATATGAAATAGAGTTGGGAGGGTAGAGAGTAACAATAGAAGGGACAGAGAAATTAATTCATCTAAGTTTGTTCTATTAGCAACATTCACACAACCTATATTTTCTAGCATTTTTTCTATGTTTTATAGCTTGTGGCCTAAATAATTTCCTATATTAGGTAATGAATGCAAGATTTTGAATATTCAGAAGTTTATGGCGGGAGAGGGGGGAAATGGGGCATTACACATTACATTGGTTAATTTGACCAGAGAAGAACTAGAGATGTTGATTGGTGATTTATTCATTCAAAATTATATCCCACATATTACTATACATTTTTTGTGGTTGTCTATTTACCTGTAGTTAAGAGTCCACATGAGTTTCAAAGGTCGCCTTACATCAAAATAAAAGGTTAATCATCAATGAAATCTAGACCCTACTGGGCCCACTATGGAACATCTTGTTATCACCTCTCCCCTTACCTTCATGATTTATCTCCTGCACCTAGAAGAGTTAGTAGGCCTTTAATAAATATTTGTTGGTAGTTGTTGAATGAATGCAAGCAAAATTTCCCTTTATCTTTAAATTTTTCCTTGACTATTCCTTCCATCTAGCCACAACTGGCATTTTGGCTATTCCCCTGAAGCAAGTCCTGACACTTTTACCCTCTAACTCTTCTTCCTGCTCCTGTGATGCACCCTTTTTCCTGCTGCTCCTTTCATGCTATCTTCTTTAAACCATCTTTCAACAACCTTTTCTCTTTTGAAGCCTGTTATCTGCTGACCTTCCTTGGTGATAGCACCTGGCTATACTTTTGTCCTTTTCCCTTTCTCTTCATTTTGGTGATTTCAAATATTATGCTAATAACCCATTCAATACATGCTTTTGCTCTTAGTTCCTTGTTTCCTAACCTCTGACATTTACCTTTAAATATTTAGCTAATTATACCTATGACTATACCTTGGACTGTGTCATCCTTTAGAATAATTCCACCTCTAAGGTCTTTAACTCTGAAATTTTCCTTGGAAGCTAAACAATTTACACTACCTTTCCAAGACCCTTAATTTTACAGAGCATGTATTGTGTAGTGGTTAGAAACTTGGACTTTGGAGTCATTCAGAATGTTTGTGGCATTTGTTTCCATTATCAAAGAAGCCCTGTTGTGTCTTTAATTGCTAGTATTTCCTGATCACCTAGATACCCCTCAGTTTATCACCCTGGTGTCCTTAATCACTGAAAGCAATGATGACAACAACAAACACAGAAACATTCCTTGAGACTATTAACACTTTTAATGTTTTTGAATCTTTCTTCTCTTTACATAAAAATTATAATCATTGCTTTAAGCTGCTGACAATTTGGCTACTACCTTTTGCAGTATTGAAATAGTTCTCTGAGTTCATCTACGGCATTGCCCTACTCAGTTATCTTATACTCAGCGTTACAGGGCCATCTTCCCCTCATTGATTATCTCATTCACTTCTAATTTCGTGCCAAATCCCATTGGTTTTGCTTTTGTAATAACTTATATCTGTGTCCTCAGTCAGCCTCCAGCTGTTCTTGCTCTACTTTAGATGTTACCCTCTCTAGTTGTTTCTTGTGGCTACTAAAATAGCTGCCTAACTGGTCTTCCTCCCATCCTCCAGGTTTTACCTATTCCAATCCAGTATCACCCTATGATTTGGACACAGAGTTCTTTTCTGAAGCCCCAGGTGGGCCTTTATGTTTTCAGAGAATCAGTTTATATGTCCCTATTCTGTTCCTTCAACTATGCTCCTAGATGCCTTTCACACCTTTGCTTTGCTGCTCCAAACTCAGAACTCTTCCCCGTCTTTATTCTTTGCTGATGACCTTGCTGCTTAATTTACTGAGTAAATTGAAGCATTCAGAAGAGAACTTCCACAGGCTCCCACCACCACATTTACCTTTTAGTATCTGTATTCACATATCTGTCTTGCTACTATCTATCACCGTAGTTGAAATTTTCATTTCTCCATTCTTCTACTTGTGTATAAGTTTCCATTCCTTTTCACTTACTCACAGATATTGCTCAATAATTTTCTCTTCTCTCTCCTACCATTCCGAGGAGCATATAAACATACTGTCCCATTTTTCAAAAACCTTTGCTTGACCCTTTCTCTCTTGCTTGTTATCACTCCATTTATTTACTCTCCTTTGAAGCAAAGCCCCTCACAGTAATTTTACTTAGATGCACTGCTTCCAGTTTCTATAGTTTGTTTTTTTTTTGAGATGGAGTCTCACTCTGTCACCCAGGCTGCAGTGCAGTGGCGTAATCTTGGCTCACTGTAACCTCCATCTCCCAGGTTCAAACGATTCTCATGCCTCAGCCTCCCAAGTAGCAGGGATTACAGGCACATGCCACCACACCTGGCTAATTTTTGTATTTTTTAGTAGAGACGGGGGTTTTACCATGGCCAAGCTGGTTTCGAACTCCTGCCCACCTTGGCCTCCCAAAGTGTTGGGATTACAGGCCCAAGCCACCACGCCTGGCCCATTTATGTTAGTCTTTAATATTTAAATTTATGTACAAGATTTACAGTGTTTTAAAACTTTGTACATTTCTACATTGTGGTTTGAATATCCTAATGTTTCGTCAGAAAATTACTATTTCCTGTTTAAATGTGATTTTTTTTAAAAAAAAGATTTGCTTGTTGGATTCATTAATGTGATTTAAAGAACTGTACAACTTTGTGCCACATTTTCCCTAATGGGAATTTTTTTCTTCCATGGGAATTTTGAAATAGGATATTAAAGAAATATATTTTTCAGGTACTATCATACTGTATTATAATTTTATTTGATGAATCTCTTTTATGTTTTTATGTGACCCACATACTCAAACATTATAGACTTGTATATGCAGATATTAAAAACTTATTTATATCTAGTAGTGGGATTGCTGGATCATATGGTAGTTCTATTTTTAATTTTTTTTTTTTTGAGAGACTTGCTCTGTTGCCCAGGCTGGAATGTAGTGGCTTGATCTCAGCGCACAGCAACCTCTGCCTCCCGGGTTCAAGCAGTCCTCTGCTTCAGCCTCCCGAGTAGGATTATAGGTGCCCACCACCATGCCCGGCTAATTTTTGTATTTTTAGTAGAGACGAGGTATCACCATTTTGACCAGACTGGTCTTGAACTCCTGACCTTATGATCCACCTGCCTCGGCCTCCCAAAGTGCTTGGATTCCAGGCGTGAGCCACTGCGCCTGGCCCTATTTTTATTTTTTTAAGGAACCTCCATGCTATTTATCATAGTGGCTGTACTAATTTACGTTCCCACTAGCAATGTATACAAGTTCCCTTTTCTCCACATCCTGGCCAACAGTTGTTGTCTTTTGTCTTCAATAATGGCTCTTCTAAAAGATGTGAAGTCATATCTCACTGGTGTCTTAATTTGCATTATGTTAAGTGAAATATGTTTGGTATAGAAAGGTAAATACCACATGATCTCATTCCTATGTGGAATCTAAAAATGTTGATTTCATAGAAGTAGAGAGTAGTATAATTTAAAAAATAAAAAAATAAAGTTACGCATATGTATGATATATACATATACAAAAAAAAATAAAAAAAGAAATAGAGAGTAGAATGGCGGTTACCAGTGGCCGGGGTATTTGGGCAGTGGGGAGAGGGGGTAGGTTGGGGAGATAGTGGTCAAAGGATGCAAAATTTCAGTTAGATAGAGGTATAACTTCAAGAGATCTGTTATACAATTTGGTGACTATTGTGTTTTTTGAAAAATTCTAACAGTAGATGTAAAGTGTTCTCACCACAAAAATGACAACCATGTGAGATAATGCACATATTAATTAGCTAGATTTCGTCATTCTACAATAAGTATATACTTCAAAACATCATGTTGTGTGTGCTAAATACATATAATTTTATCTGTCAATTAAAACATCTATAAATGGACATATATTTTTAAATGACGGTATAATAAGATATCAGAAAATATGCTTTGATTAAAAGTAACAAACAAAAGTTTAACTGAAAACTTTAAAGGTTATATCTCTTCTTTGAGAGAAGTCTACTTATACCCTGAATATTACATATTTTCTATATTATCTAAGTTTGACTGTAATAACCTTACAGTGAACAAATTATGAATAACTGTAGTTTTCATCTACTGTATACTTACGGCTAAGGCATGAAACTAAACCATTTAAATTTATTATTTCAGTTGATCCTTAAGACAGTGCCACAAAGTAGGTAAGATTGTTATACCCCGTTTTCAGATAAGGAAAGTGAAGCTTAGAGAGAGGTAAGAAAATTGGTTCATTAACTTGACTAAGCTAGTAAGTGGCTGAGCTGAAACTTACATTTAGGTACATAAAAATCTAAAACATTGACATTTTTGTAACATCTACCTTTAATAATGCTTCATTTAAGCTCAATATAAAATTAGTACATTTCCCTTGGACACATATTGAGGTGAAGTAGAAGGCAAATCAGAGGTACATTAGAGTGGTAGGCGAAGCCAACCTGGGGTGGATTATTTCCTACTGATGATGGAACATTGTGTGTAATTATTTTTACAGAGCATCTATTGAAAAGAATGGGTACAAAAATCTAGCAATGGAAAATTGTTAAAAATGGCATTATCACAGTTGATAGGGAGAAAGCACTTAAGTCGTTCTGTTTCTAA